AGTCGTGGGGCTTGAACTCTGGGCCTGGGCGCTGTCCCTCAGCTCTTCAGCTCAAGGCGAGCGCTCTACCACTTGAGCTACAGTGCCACTTACACACACTTATAAAAGGCTCTTTCTCTATAGTCCTTTATTAGAAAGAGGAGAAAAAAGGAGATATACAGCTTGCATTTTGCAGAAACTCTCTCTCCTTTTTCTCTTTTTTTAGGTATATTGCCTAACAGTCTTATGTTTATTTGTCCTGCTATCTAAGCCTTAAAAGGTATTTTAGGGCTAGGAATATCACTCAGTGGTGTATGCAGTGCTTTCCTAGCATATACAAGACTCTGGGTTCTATCACCAGCACTTTAAAAAAAAATGATTTCCTTGTTTTGTTTTGAGACAGAATCTCACAATGTATCCCAGACTGGCCTGGAGCACTTAATCTTTAACTTTCTTTTTTTTTTTTTTTTGTCAATCATGAGGGCTGAACTATGGGCCTGGGTGCTATCCCTCAGCTCTTCAGCTCAAGGCTAGCACCCTACCACTTGAGCCATAGTACTATGTCCAGCTTTTTTCTTTTCTTTTCTTTTTTTTTTTTGGTCGGTTGTGGGGCTTGAACTCTGGGCCTGGGCGTTGTCCTTCAGCTCAAGGCTAGCACTCTTGAGCCACAGTACCACTTCCGGCTTTTTTCTTTTTGCTTAAAGAAGAAAAAACCTACCTGACTGGAAAAATACAAATAATCATGACAAGTATCTTCAGATAGCAAGACTGAATTTAATGGCTCTGTGAAGGAGCAGAAATTCAAATATGTTTTTAATATGTGGTGAACCAACCTGCTTGAGACACAATTGAAAGGAGTCCCTTGACAAACAGGAATAATAATGACCCATGGATTCTAGCATGCTTGGAATGGGTGTGTGCGCTGTATTAACCAACAAAGGAGAATTTACCATTGTGAAAAACAGGAATAATCACTCCACCCACTCTGTATACAACCTCTGCCAATTGTATTGCTTCCTGGTGAAGATTTTCTGGCTATGAGAACAGAAAGTAATGCAAACCTTTATGAGGAAATAAGAAGAAAGTTTAAAATACAAATTTTATTCAGATAAGTGATTTCTAGAAGCACAATAGTGTGTGTATTTAAAAACAAAAAAACTGTAGCCCAGTGCCGGAGGCTCATGCCTGTCAGCCCCGGGGGCTGGGAAGGTGGCTCAGTGGTAGAGCGCTTGCCTTGCATGCATGAGGCACTGGGTTTGATTCCTCAGCACCAAATAAGCAAAAAGAAAAAAGCCGGAAGTGGCGCTATGGCTCAAGTGGTAGAGCACTAGCCTTGAGCTGAAGAGCTGAGGGACAGCGCCCAGGCCCAGAGTTTAGGCCCCATGACCGGACCTAAAAAAACAAAAAACAAAGCCAGCTAGGGCAGGAAAGTCCGTGAGACTCTTATCTCCAACAAACCACTAGAAAACTGGAAGTGGTGCTGTGGCTCAAGTGGTATAGCACTCACCTTGAGCCAAAGAGCGCAAGGACAGCACCCAAGCCCAGAGTTCAAGCCCCACAGACCAACCAAAAAAAAAAAGTAGAAGAAAGTGAAGCTGTGGTTTAAGTGATAGAGTGCTAGCCTGGAGCACAAAAGCTCAGGGACATCCAAAAAAGAAAAAGAAAAAAAAACTGAGAAGTATAGGAAGCCATAGATTTTGTTTGCAAATCAGTCAGGCTTCTTGACATACTTCTGTCCAATATTCCTTTGAGTGGATTTTTAACCATAACTAAATTTGCCAATTCTTTCCTTGGTGCTAGTCCTTAGGCCTCAGCTCTGGGCCTGGGTACTCTTTCTTCTCCACTTCTGGCTTTTTGGTGGTTAATTGGAAAAGAGTCTCACAGACTTTCCTGCCCAGACTGGCTTTGAACCACAATCCTCTGATTTTAGCTTTCTGAGTAGCTAGACTTTTAGGTGTGAGCTACCAGCACCCAGAAGGAAACTTTTTTAACAATTTTTGTTTGTTTTCCTGAATATTTTTTTTAATTTTGTCTCTTTTTAAAAATCTCTAACAGGGCTGAGAAAGTGGTTTAGTGGTAGAATGTGGTTTACTGCTAGAATGCTTGCCTAGTATGCATGAAGACCTAGGTTCGATTCCTCAGTACAACATAAACAGAAAAAGTCGGAAGTGGTGCTGTGGCTTAAGTGGTAGAGTGCTAGCTTTGAGCCTGGGACAGTGCCCAGGCCCTGAGTTTCAAGCCCTAGGACTGGGAAAAACAAAACAAATCTCTAACAATGATGGGAACTTCTGTAATCCTAGCTAACCAGGAGTCTGAGATCTAAGGATGGAGGTGGTTCAAAGCCAGCCCAGGCAGACAAATCAAAGAGACCCCCAATTAACTAACAAAAAAATATGGGGCTCAAGTGGTACAATACCAGCTTTGAGGGGAAAAGCGAAGCAAAAGTGCAAGTCCTTGGGTTCAAGCCCCAGTATAGGCATTAAAAAAAAAAGAAAAAATGTTGGAGCTGGGAAGGTGGCTCAGTAGTAGAGTACCTGCCTTGTATGCATGAGACCCTGGGTTTGATTCCTCAGTACCACATAAACAGAAAAGGCTGGAAGTGGCTCAAGTGTTAGAGCACTAGTCTTGAGCTGAAGAGCTGACCCAGAGTTCAAGCCCCACTACCCAAAAAAAGAAAAAGAAAAATGTTTCTAGAGTTCAATTTTTTTCTTTTGATAGTTTTGGTTAAAATCTACAATAAGTGTTGTCTGGTTCTTCTTCGTTCCCTCAAGAAAAATTAAAATTTTTTCTAATATTTAGGTCTTTGTTCTTTCCCTTAATGACCATCCCTTAAGGATAACTTTGGCATCCTTGGTAATTTAAAATGATGACAGTATTAGATAAGGTTGAGTAAATTGACTAATGGAAAGCTTTTTATTAAAATTCTTTATTAGTGTACATTAGTTGCACTAAGAACTTTCATTACATTTCCATACATGCATACAAAGTACCCATCAACTTCACCCCCTCTACCACTTTCCCCTGTCCTCTACCCCCTTTCTTCATAAAACAATTCCTATAGGTTTCATTGTTCTGTTTGCACATATGCTTCAACCATTGTACAAATACTTCAACCATAATCATCTTCTCCATTTACCCTCTCTCCTCTGTATAGCTGCCCCCAACAGAAACAGTCTTAAACTGGATCTTTCGGGGCATGTATGTTACTATAATTTATTTTATACTCATGTTATTTATTGCTAATGTAAATATATGAGCTACTGGCATTTCTATCTGTATTACATGTTTTTTTAAGTTACTCTAACTGCTAAGGAAAATCTCTCTTCTGAGAAAACTTCCTGTTGTTGCTCCTTTGTAGTTAGAGTCATTACTGGTAAACAGTAACACAGTTCAGACACAGCTCTGGTGTGCCAGTAACATAAAGCAACTTAGGAGTCATTGAGACCTCACTACCCTTCTAGGTCTCCTGTTATCATCCTCACTGCTTCCCCTTTCCTTTATTTCTCCTCAAGCGTTTTTGCACATCCTACAAGTACTCATTAAAGTACATTTTAGAGCATTTCATCTCACACTGATCTGTCCTTTCTCCTTCCAGTTCTTTTAATGTTTATTTCCTGTACCAAAATAGTTAATCTTGAATTGTACATTCCTTTGTTCACAGATTGAGGTGGGGGGGGGAGATTTTGAATTCCCATAATGATTTTAAGTTCTTTTGTGCAGAAGCTATTTTTCGTACTACTTTGGGTTTTATTCCATAGCATGAATACCAACTAGGGTCTCCTTAATGTATCTTGTGGTGGAAGATCAAAGCAAAGGACTGGGAATGGGGCTGAGTGGTAGAGTGCTTGGCTAGCAAGCATGAAATCCTGGGTTTGACTCCTTCATACCATATACACAGGAAAAGCTGGAAGTGGCCCTGTAGCTCAGGTGCTAAAGTGCTAGCCTTCAGCAGCACAGAGAGGCTCAGGGACAGTGCTAAGTTTTTCTCTTTTATTCCTCTGCTTTGTAAAAAATGTAAAAATCAATCCAGATTCAAAATCTGGAGCCTACTTGTCCTAGGAAAAAAAATCAACTTAAATTGATTCAGTATACCTTTAGGGAAAGCTTTAGGCACTTCTGGAAATGCTTCTGGCCCAAGGGAAGAGATTGGACTTACTTGCCTTTTTGCCATAGTGTGACAAATGAGAAAATAAAGATATTTTGATTTTCTAGGTTGTCCTTAGTTACCTCTTTTATAAAATGGCTGCAATATATCTATAACAGGTGCCTGATAGCTGCAGTTGCCCAACCGGTTTAACTGCACTGCCCCCACATATGCTGGGTGAGAGAGCTCCAAGTACAGCTCTTATCAAAGATCTCTGTCCAGGTCATCTCAGAACAAGTTGTTTAGTAATGTACAGGAGTTCCAGTGCAAACCATGTACCATAAACCACGAAATGATTCAAGGTCCATAGTTCCTCTTTGTTCCTTTGTTAATCACTGACTTCTGACTAGGGGGAGGTGCCTCCCAAATTTGCTAATGCATTCTTTTTGGATAAGGATGACGCACAGATTGTCCTAATAAGGACTTAGATTGAGAAAGCACCTCCCCCTCTGAGAAGATGGGACGAGTTGGAGAGAGGGCGGGCAGTTTCTTTTTTAACTAGGGATGACACAACCATAAGTCATTTCCTTATTAATCGGTTCAAACCAGTTCTTACAGGAACTGGTGGTGATAAATGTGAGACTTCTGAGAAGTCATTCATTTTATTCTTTGTGCAGCCCCCAGTGTGCTCTGAAGGCTCTGTTGGCTTCACTCTTGAGCACTCTTGTGCTTTAGTAGTGGCTTCTCACTGCAGCTTTTAGTTCCTCTCAGATGTCAGAGGTTTTCCTACTTTAAGGAGCTGTTTAAACGAAGCATTTTTCATCTACTAAAAAGAGTTCATGGGATTTTGACAAGGATTATTTTATATATTTTGTTCCTCTTTTTTTAATCCAGTTTCTGCTTTTTTGAGTCCAGGTGGTAAGTGGGTTTTCTTTAATATCTATCTCTCCTGCCTTTCTTCCCAAATGTATCCTTTCCTGGGCTACTGTGCCCTGCCTCCAGTGCTGTCCCGGGCATCGGTCCTTCTCTGCAGAAGCCATTCCAGGAATACCTGGAGGCTCAGCGCCAGAAGCTTCACCACAAAAGAGATGTGGGCACCCCACAGGTGAGAATTTGCTCTTGAGTTCTTCTCCCCCTAGGCAGTCCCAGATTGAAATTGGGTTCTTGGCTCTCACATTTTTAGGCAGATAGAGTGAAGTTTGCTTGGCTGTTTCTTAACAGAGGCTGTGGCATCGTGAATGCACTTAACTCTCTACTGGGAAATCTGTTCTAATCCATACCAAAAAAAAAAGAGAAAGTTAATTACTTTTCTGAGTATCTTCCAAAAACAACAGTAGAGGCAGTAGAAAAAAAATAACAGTTCCATTCTGTTATGTGAAATGAATTATTGCCTTGATCTTAACTGATTTATCAGATACACGTCTCTGCTTGATTAAATTAAAGTGTTAAAATTTGGAATGTTTAAATAACAAAATACTTGATTTAGGTAACTTAAATATCTGCCTATGCTGCTTTTTGTTTCTCTTGTGAGAAAATAATCATTTCAGTTTGTTTCCAAATAAATCAAGGCTCCTCTTATAAAGTTGAACTTTAAGACTTTAACTTTAACCAAGAAAGCTTTTTTTATAAACAGTTCTGTGACTGTAGGAAGTAAGCAAATGCCTGAAATGGGAAACTTGAAGGAAGCAGTTGCTTTTTAATGGCCTTAACACTCTTCACTTGGCCCTTTGCTGCCCTCACTTGTCCATAAACAACTAAGTTATATCTTAACTCCCAATACTGAAACAAAACTGCTTAGCTGTCCTGACAACTGCTTTGCAACATAACTACTTTGCTCATAACTACTCTTGGATCATAGTAAAAGACAAAAGATGAACTCACATTTGCATTTCTCACTAAACTGTGAATCACATCTACTGTTTGCCCAACAAAGTGAAATCTTGATCATCCAAGTATATAAAAATGCCTGGCCTTAGCCTAGGTTTTTAGGTTACAAGTTTCAAGTTCTATCATTTAAAATTACTTTCCTTAAACTGTAGTAAATGGTCTCCTACTTACTGTTAAACAAATGAAGCCTTTTCATTTGAATTGTTTGCTTTTTGCTTTTCCTGCAGGGAGAAAACTGGTTATCCTGGATGTTTGAGAAATTGGTCGTGGTGATGGTGTGTTACTTTATCCTGTCTATCATTAACTCAATGGCACAAAGTTATGCCAAACGAATCCAACAGCGGTTGAACTCAGAGGAGAAAACAAAATAAGCAGAGAAGGCTTTTAACTGCAGAAATTAGGATGAGTAGGTTATGGAATGACCCATAACCAGGAAGAAAAATTCTCTTTTCCAACCTGTATCAATTTTAAAAACATTTTTCCTGAAAGCAGTTTTAAGTTCATATTTTGCACTGACATACTTTTCCTTTATGTGTTAAGGTAAGGTATCAACCCTCAATTCAATCCACATTTTTTTTAAATTAGGGTGAATGTGATGTTCAGCCACAAACTTAACAGAAACTGGCCTTCTGTATTACTTTCAAAAGGCCTACTTGGTACAATTGGAGAATACTATGTTAAATATGTCAAGCTTTTTAGGCTTGTCTCTGATTTGTTTTTTTCTAAGTCATCAAAATGTATATAAATTATATATAGATTGGATATCAGTCTTGCATGCCTATCATGGTACAATTTAATATACCATCCTACCCAAACTCCTCTCCCACCCTGGAAAAAAAAAAAGGCCATTTTATGATGCATTACACACCCTCTGGGAGATTAATCTTTAAATTTTAAAACAGTATAAGAAAAATCTGTTTGGTGTCTCACAAGTGAGTACACCATTTTTTATTCTGTATATTTAGAATGAAGTCATGAAAAAAAAAACTTTATAAAGACATCTTTGATCATTCCAAAATTGTGTTTGTTTTCTTGAGCGATATGATCTTTTTTCCCCTTCCTTTTAGCTTATATCAACTGAGGGACAACCTTGCCAAATCCAACTATTACCGGGATTTCTTAGGCTTTATTTATTTGCATGAAAGAGCCAACACCCAGTTATCTTGTTACGCTGGAACTGGACTACTGCACACTGCTAACTGACACCTCTAAGATTGGCCTAGTCTGAGGATTTGATGGTTTGTAAAACCCAAGAAACAAAAGAAAGATACTAATGTACAAATCACAGGACACTTGAAAAAAGTTACTCATTTAAAAAACACACACACCTTCTCTAATCTGTTAATTTTAGCGAATTTGTACTCCAATTTTAACACTTTTTTTTTCTTTGGGATTCTTTTTTTCTATCCATTTTGTTTAGGGAAATAAATGACTTTTTTTTCCTTTAGGAAAATTTATACTGACATTGTGTCAAAGTAGAATCGAATTGGAGATAAATTTCAACAAGCCAGAAATGCTTGGTTTGGTTATTCAAATCTTTCCTGAATGTCTGCTTGTTTTGCCTACCGTCGTGACATCTCCATGGCTGTACCACCTTGTCGGGTAGCTTATCAGACTGATGTTGACTGTTGAATCTCATGGCAACAGCAGTCGATGGGCTGTCTGACATTTTGGTATCTTTCATCTGACCATCCATATCAGTATTCTCATTCAGACATTTGGTATCATGGTTCACAATCAAAACCTGTGGTCCTTGTGTCTAATGGCACTTTTGGGTCCTTTTATGCCATGATATAGCAACATATTGAGAAGACTTTGGGGCAATAGGGATAGTCTCCATGACCATAGCTAAATAAAGTATGCTGCTTTATGGGTTTTGAAAAGGTTATTTCTTCTTAGCATGTGTGTTTTTCAAAGACTAGCATTTTAACTGTTAGTTGAGCCTACCTGAAAACCAGTACCCAAAAACTTTATTGTAGATTTACATTAAACAGCATAATTTTTTAGATTGTTTGGTGTTGGCTAAAGTCAGGGCTCCTAAACTGACTTCCAGTTGTGGTTCATCTCCTTCACCTGCATTTATTTCATGTTTGTCTAAAGAAAGGAAAGAGGAAGTAAATATAAATGGCACCATGCATACTAAATTTGGGGGGGGTATCATAAATTTGTTTCAGGTAATGTATTAGAAAATCTTTCTTAGGCTAACTGCCTTAGAGCTTCATTTGACTTAAGGTGACCACTTATTTACTGTTTCAAACTAACTTGCTTTAAAAAAAATGAAGAACAGCTCTCTTTCCTTCTGAGTATTCACTTGTGCTTCACTTGTGTGTTCCTGTTGGATTCCAGCTCGAGCAATGTGATAACCTGTCTTTTCCAGAGCTTGGTTTGTTCCCTTTTTTTCAATACTGAGGATTGAACCTACGGTTAAGTTCCCTGGGCAAGGGCTCTCCCATTTGAGTCCAGCCTATTCCTTTCTTGTGTTCACTAAGGTAAACAGAACTACATGATTCCAGAAATAAATGCACACACTAGATGGTGGAAAGCAGAGAACTTGCATGTGGATGATTTAATTATTACTCTAAATAAAAGAGGGTTTTGAAAATTCTGATTTCATCTCTACTTCATAGAAGTTTCATCTTGTGCCTTACCCATCTGTGATTTCTTATCATTTCCCATCCCAGTGATTGCTGAACAGAATACATCAGCAGTTAATATACCTAAGCACTGACCTAAAAATGGAGTCGTATCCAGTTTTCATGGATTTCTGGAGTCCTGTGCATATGTATAATGTGGAGTATGAGGCATGGAAAAAAAGGATATTTTCACTTTCATTTGGATAGTGATCACCTAGTCTCATTCTCCTAAGAATACAGAAAAACTCAGACTGGAAATGAAGTTTCTTAAATTCAGTAATCATCAAAGTGCCCAGTAATGAGTGTTCCCACACAGTCTCATCCTATGTTGAGACCCTGTATCTGTGTGCTCTGGTGTCTGGCCTTAGAACAGCATGCCACTTCTCTATGTTCACAAGGCATTCGGCTGTGACTCAGTACAAATCGTGCACTAAGCTAAAGAACCAACTACTGTCTTGTAAAGTACTACAATAAAGTGTTTAGGGGATACTACGCACTGATAAGCATGCAACAGTCCGATAAAGAAGCAGGTACTAGTAGCTAATGCCTGTGGTGGTAGTTCTTCAAGATCCAAAGGACTGAGGTTCAGAGCCAGCCCAGGCAGAAAAGTCCCTTAGACAGCATCTCCAAAATAGCCAGAAAACTGGGGTGAATGTGTGGCTCAGTATTTGATACTGAGTATCAAATTTGATTCCTCCAGAAAACCTTTTGTGTTTTTGTGGGCTTTAGGGGTTAAACCCAGCATCTAGGGCTGGGAAGGTGGCTCAGTAGTAGAGTGTTTGCCTTGCATGCATGAGGCCCTGGGTTCAATTCTTTAGCACCCCATAAGCAGAAAAAGCCGGAAGTGGTGCTATGGCTCGAGTGGTAGAGCACTAGCCTTGAGCTGAAGAGCTGAGGGATAGAGCCCATTCCTAGAGTTCAGACCCCACAACCAACAACAACAACCAAAAAGAACAGCATCCATGTACTTAATCATACACTCTACCAATCAGCTATACAACATTTTACTAAAGTTTAAGGGTGGGGGGGAGGCAGGGTGATGAACACCTGCATGAATTTCTACTTTAACTCCAAATTAGTAGCCAGGCAAGATGAAGCTTGGGAGACTGAGGCAGCACAATGAGAGTTCAAGATCATCTTGGGGTACATAGCAAGTACCCATTTAAGAAAAAAAATCCCAAGTTAATAAAGCAAAAATCACCAGGCCTAGTTGTGTACACCTTTAATTCTAGCACTTAGGGGAGGAGGATTACAAGCTTGAGGTCAGGCTGTCCTAGAGGGAAAAAAAAAATGCTGAGGGCTTGGAATGTGGCTTAGTGATAGAGTGCTTGCCTAGCACGCAGGAAGTCCTGGGTTCAATTCCTCAGTACCACATACACACAAAAAGCTGAAAGTGGCACTGTGGCTCAAGTAGTAGAGGGCTAGCCTTGAGCACAAGAGGCTCAGGGACAGAGCCCAGGCCCTGAGTTCAAGCCCCAAGACGGGCAAAAATGAAAATTACTGAATTAGTAACTTGGTTAATAAAAACCAAAATTCATTTAAGTACACCCTTAGGTGTATCCTGTTTAAGACAATGTATAAAACACAGATAATACATAGTAATTAAGTACATTTTTACTTTATACTTAAATTGCTGACATTTACTGATTTACTTTCATTTTAAAAATGTTAGTGCTTGGAAATATCAACACTGAGCCCCATAAATGTATACAGTTGTGTCAGTTAAAGCTTTTTAGGAGCTGGGAAGATAGCTCAGTGGTAGAGTGCTTGCCTTACATGCAATGAAGCCTTGGGTTCAATTCCTCAGCAACACATAAGCAGAAAAAACCAGAAGTGGCACTGTGGCTCAGGTGGTAGAATGCTAGCCAAGAGCTGAAGACCTGGGACAGCACCCAGGCCCAGAGTTCAAGCCCTACAACTGGGGGTAGAAAGCGGGGAGGAGGGGACTTTTTAGTTCCAGCCACACAGGAGCACAAAGGAAGTATAATGCTTGAGCACAGGAAATTTGAGACCACCATGGACAACATAGACCTGGTCTCAAGGAGAAAAGGACATTAGGCACGACTCAAGTAGTAGCGTGGCCAGTTGCAAGTGAAAAAGCTGGGCAAAAGAAAGAGTGCTTTGAGGGGCTGGGAAGGTGGCTCAGTGGTAGAGCACTTGCCTTGCATGCCTGAGGCCCTGGGTTCGATTCCTCAGCACCACATAAGCAAAAAGAATAAAAGCCAGAAGTGGCTCTGTGGCTCAAGTGGTAGAGTGCTAGCCTTGAGCTGAAGAGCTGAGGGACAGCACCCAGGCCCAGAGTTCAGGCCCCACGACCGGACCCAAAAAAAAAGAGAGTGCTTTGAGTTTAACTCCCAGTACTGGTACCGAAGAAAAAGAAGGTTGGGGCCATGCACTGGTGGCTCATGCCTTTAATCCTAGCTACTCAAGAGACTGAGATTTGAGGAATTCGGTTCAAAGCCAGCCTGGGCAGGGAAGTCTGTGAGACTCTTTATCTCCAATTAAATCACAAAAAAACGAAGTGCTGTGGCTCAAGTGTAGAGTACTTGCTTTGAGCAAAAGGCAGGACCAGAAAAAAAAGGGGGGGGGGCTAGGGAAAGAGGAATCTTTTCCTATTTTAATTAAAATATACATGTGTAAAATACCATGGTGAGAACTTTCAGTATTTAATACATACTTAAAAAGAATGAAGAAAAATAAAACAAGCTCTGGTATGGGACAAATATCAGCAGGAGGGAAGTTGGGTGAGCTTGGTTGAAGTGCTTTGTGAAAAGATCGATTACATCCATCCCAGGGGACCATGCAGAGGCAGACAGGCACAGGAGAAAGATTATTACAAGGTTTATTAGAAGAGTCATATTTCTCCCAGAGAGAGAGCCCATGGCAGCCTCCACTATCTAGGTAGCAGCAGGGTCTGGGGGTAGGAAGTGTGGTAGATGGGAGTTCAGGTGCGTCTGGACAGAGAGAGGGAGGGGCCAGCTCTGTGGCAGGAACTCCAGGGCTGGGGGGAGCTGAGGACCGAAGGTGGGCATAATGCTTACATTTGTACACATACAGCACAATAAAGTGTTTTAAGAAGTAGGGAGGGGAAATAAGGGAGAATAATTGAGGGGGTAAGGTTATTGGAGCACAGTGTAATCGTGTATGGTGTCACAGTGAAACCTCAACCTTTATTAATTAATGTAGAATAATAAGATTTCTTAATTTTTTTAAAAGAATATTAGTGCTGGAAAGCAGAGAAAAGGGAATGTCAGTTTTAATGTCTTATTTTAAAATTTAAAAAAAGGCTTAATTTGGGATATCCAGTGCAAATTGCTAAGTAAATAGGTTTTGAAACCAGGAACTGGAGGAGGCATGGTTCAAGTGATGAGAGTCTTGCCCAGGG